TTCAATTCTTACCATTTTTAACGAATATAATTTTAAATGGTTTATATTACTGAAGTCATGAATTTTTATGGACGGAAAAATTACATTTGACAGCGACAATTTTATTAACTGTTCAAACAGTAATGAAATATATTTATAACAGTTTTTTATGAGGTAGTTAGATGCATCTGTGGATGTTGCATTCGGCATGTCCACATTTCGCCGAAAATATTAGTATTCAACGCAATAATGGGCAAACCAGAGGGAGACTTTGTACAAAAGTCGATTGCTTGGGTACCTCTGTCCCATTTGTGTTTCAACCGTGAAGCAGTTGTGTTTGCATGGCTGTGTTTCGGTTTCAAGGGTGGGATATGGCGTGAATTTACAGGGTACAGAGGAATAACATCTGAGTCCTCAGGAATGGCAACGCATAGGGGGTATCATGGGCGAAACAGTATACTCTGTTATGTCCATGGTACTGCTCATGTCTATAGGCGACGGTTACCACTTTCCATCAGGTGGGCCGTCAGCTTGTTTGCCATTCTAAGTTGTATAAAAAAAACCAAAGGGGGAGGGGAGGGATTGTTAGTAATACGGACTACCAGCTCTATTACTAGCGATGCACCCTGTAAGATCAACCTCCCCGCGGTCCTTTTTTCATGTGTATTCGTCATGATAGACTAATTGACCTGTCTTTTCAATCTCGCCTATCATCTCTTACTGGTGCTCCGTCAGTGTATACCACATATATAAAAAAACGGGCTAACCAACGACCATTGATTAATTTGGTTTGTTAACAGTATTTTCTATCACTGAAGTTTAAGTTAGTAAATTAAAAAATATAAAGTCATATGACGTAATTTATAACTTAACTTGTTGTCATAAATGCTCTTAATCTAGTTGTTATTTTTGTGGTACATTCTATGATACTGCTTATGTCTAAGGTTGGCAACATTGTTAATTTGATATCTTGTAAATTTTCAACAAGTTTCAAATCCGTAATCCTATATTAAATTCAATTTCTGTTAAAAGTGTTTATTAATTATAAAGGAAAGTTATTAAAACGTACAAAGCACATTTCAATGTTCGGCAATATAATATTCATCTAAAATCTGACATCAAAAGAAAATTTCTATCTCAATAATATAAAACCATGGAAACCATAAACACCTAACCATGGAAGTGGACGCTTCCTGGTGTGTTGAGGCTCATTACGCTCACTTTCCAATCAATGATTGAAGTCTTAGATCTGTCATTAGGTGCTCGTAGGTTGCTGACCTGTGAGGTGCGTGGGTGAGTTGGAGTGAGTATTGTATCAAAGGTAATAGTATAAAATTAAGTACATCAATATGTACTTGGTATTTTTTTTTTATAATGAAATAGTAACCCCACCCGCGCTATCGTTATACACCGGCGAGGTACCAGTGACGGATGATAGATGAGGATGAAACAGATCAGTTAGCCCATCGTTACGAATTCAACGAGAATTGTTCACGATGGTTTCCAGGGGCAACCACGTGGGAGTTGACCTGATAGGGCATATTGCTAGCAATGGGGCTGTCAAACTCCATTGCTAACAATCCCTTCCCCCGTACTTAATATTTATACTATAAAACTTATATATAAATATTAGTATCCTTTTATAGAAGTAACTTTTAACCGCGTAACTAGGATATGTTTACTGGCCGGTGAATATAAATAACAAATAAAGTTATTTTTTAGTATTTTATATATTTATCTTAATGGCAGTACTCAAAATAGTAATTTTGGTATTTATGTTATTGCAACACTTTTTCGCTCGTTTACATTTTTTGTGCAATTTATTAAAAATCACAATGAAATTATACTACTTCGAAGTGCAAGAATCGTTTTTTATTCCTACAACCGGGATAAAAAGTAGCATATATCCTTCTCCATTCCATGTTATACGTGTATACCAGGTTTCATAGTGATTGGTTAAGCCGTTAAGGTGTTATAAGGTAACAAATATAAAACACATATTTAATATTGTTTGCAACAAAATATTTTCCTATAACTCGAAAATGATAAAATATTTTCTAATACTACTAGTACGAAGCCTTTAAAATAAAAGACCAGAAAAAAAAATAGTTTGACGTGCGTAAAAAAAACTAACCCCCTTATTCACAAAAACTAAAACCCAAACTAAAATGTCACTAAAAGTCAAACAGCAGCTGCCAATCCGCCTGCTAAGCGTGGTAACTATTAGCAAATTTCCCCCAATTGTAAACTGCCATAAGGAACAGAGCCGTTCCTTATGATAGTCTATGGGTGAGGCCTATATTCAGTAGTGAACAGATAACGGCTGAGATGATGATGATGATGCTAAATAGAGACATTACGAGCTAATGAAATATATACTAATGCATAATATCACCAAAGGGAGACTTTGTACAAAAGTCGATTGCTTGGGTACTTCTGTCCCATTCGTGTTTCTACCGTGAAGCAGTTGTTTGCATGGCTGTTTCGGTTTAAAGGGTGAGATATAGCAGTGAATTTACAGGGTACATACATAGGAATAACACCTGAGTCCTTAGGAATGGCAACGTATGGAGGGTTCTGTTATGTCCATGGTCTATAAGCGACGGTTACCACTTTCGTTTAGGTGGGTCGTCAGCTTGTTTGCTATTCTAAGTTACATAAAAAAATATTTATTTTTAATTAATTTAATTACTAGAAGTAATATATTTATGATGGCCTCATTATTGTGAATTTGTTCTGTTTCCTAAATTCACACGATCGATATTTAAACCCGGAACTTTATTATAATGTAAAATAGTGTGCCAACAGTTAGCCATAGACTTGTTCACTGAATGTGAATTAGTTTTAAAAAAATATTTGCTGTTTTACCATTAAAAAGTTAAACCTGCGATAGACAGGTATTCAATAGATACATGTTTAAATGTCTTACTACAAGAGCTTGTCTAATATCTATTTGTGTGTAAATAAAAAGAAATCTGTATTTTTTAAAATAAATTGTATTTAAAGTATTGAATTTTATTACAATAATTTATAAACTTTAATAGATAAAAATACATATAAATATTGGGGCCGATTCTGGGGTTCTTTATCTCTGAACTTATCTCTTAATCTATAATTTTAATTTACAATTTTATGGACGAATATAAACTAAAATTATAATACATTTGACATAAATGTATTAGAAAATCAGTTCATATTGGTCCTTGCAATAAAGATTTTGCTGTAATATCAAATTGAAGTTGTAAATTTAGAGATATTTGGAAATAGATATTGAAAATAGCTCATCAAAATTTACTCCATTATTACACCGACTAATAATATTTACTTAGGTAGAGTTTTGTTAAACACTGTTCAGTAAAGCAGAGTCTAAAATTATTTTTGTGGTAAGACCGTTTGGTGTTTTAATGTTTTCAAATAAGCTGCGGTATTCTAGAGTGGCATAGGTACGATTTCACAGTCAAGTAGCCCGTGGGCGTTTCTTAGAAGAATTTCCTTCCGCAATTAAACCTTTTTTTTTTTACTTTAAATTTGTGGATAGATAGTTTTTATTGCACAAAAAAAAATTACAGAATAAAACTTATAAAAATTACAAGAAATAGATCGCATAGAGAAAGCGATGGGCGTCTTTTTATTAAAATTTCTTTTAGGTAAAAAAAATACAGCATTTTTTTATTTCTTTTTTATTGTAACATTGGAACAAACGAGCATGCGGCTCATCTGATGGTAAGTGATTACTTCCGATCGTAGGCACTAGCAACGTTAGAGATACTGCAGGTGTTGCAGACTTTTTAGGAAAAAATATACTCTTTTCTTGAAGGTTGCAATGTCGTATCTATTCGAAAATACTGCTGCTGGAGGTTGGTTTCTATTTACAAAATCCACACATACGAAGTTGAGGGTAAAATCTAGCTATAAACAAGTACAATGATGAGAAATGAATAGCTATACCTAAAGTACAAGAGGTGGTTTTATTGCTATGCAACATCTTCCAGGCAACTTTTCAATAAAAGAAAATATACAATTCATTTATATAAATACACATACAATATTTTTTTTAGGTAAATACATCCAATAGTTACGATGTGTTAGAAGAAAGAAAGAACGAAAGAAAGAAAACATTTATTGACAATGTTACAGCATAGAGAAACAATAAAACACTCTATAGTTCTAATAACAATAATTTTAAATATATATTGTACCTACTACATGGAGAGACGGGTTATTAGCAAAAAGGTAGAACTAGAAAGCAAAGATAGAACTTAGATACCTGCTGGTAAAATTTGTTGTGTCTATATTTTAATGTAATAACTACCTGTTTAACTTACGTGTAATTTGGTCGAGTAATCTCGACTACTTTTAGGACCATTCGGGACCTTAATCTCGAGCGGCTATGACGCGAGCGCTCGAGAGCTTTCTCGACAAAATTACACAAATTAAACCGCTATTTATAATTTTAGATACTAGCTGTTTGTTTTTGTTATCTTCTATCCGGAATCTAAAAAAAAAATACAAATCTGAATACATGTTTTAAGTAAATACAATTAGACAAATAATGCTACCAATAAAGGATACACTCGATACCTCAACATCGCTGTATTTGAGATATGATAATGAGTAATTGCCTTAACTTTTTTTGCAGGCGCTTTCTTTTTTTTTATTATAAGGGCTTGTAACTTCTTCGTGTATATCAGCTCTATCGTACCCTAAACTGATTTCTCAGATAAAGTTTGATCTACTTTCCCTAGTCACGAAAAGAGACAAATTAATGGGTATCATTAATTCACAGAGATGTTAAATTACTGATTTTGGTTCAGCTAATATAGTGTGAGTAGTCCGAATAATATATAAATAAAATAAAATAAAATAAAATTAGATAACGACGGAAGCAGGCGAAGAAAAAAACAATAGCGTATATATATTGTCATTGACAAAAAATAAAAATAAAAAATGCAAAGAGGTTTCACAACATACACCCCACCTTGCGCATACGCATTACTACAGCGCAATAACAAAATACAAAATTATATGTCAAGTCGATGAGGAAGTTTCACAGGACGACCAGAACGTGTAATCTTGGCTGGACAATTTTCAACCTCAACTTTAGAATCAATAACTTTATCATTTGATCCCGATGGCCGTGGAAACTGAATATCCTCTAATTGTGACACCTCTAGAGGGTATAAACGTTGCAAAGGTCGAAGACGTTCGCCTTTAGCCGTTTTAATACGAGCTACCCTACCAACGTTATCAACACCAGGACATATCTGTAAAATGAGACCCAAGGGCCAATTTACGCGTTTTAAATCATCTGAACCAATAAGTACAATATCTCCAGGTTTCAGATTGTTCTTATTTTTGCCATACTTTTGCGTTAATAACGATAAATATTCTGATCTAAATCTTTGTTTTAAATCCCTATTGATTTTTTCAATATAACGATAACGAGTAGCAAGATTAGATGAATAAGCTTGGTCTAAATCACTTGTATAAGTACTGCCTACCTTAAGAAACATTGCAGGAGTAAGAGCTGTAAAATTTTCAGTGCTGTCTGCTATGTAAGTTAAAGGACGTGAATTAATAAGTGCTTCTGTTTCGCACAGTATAGTCATCAATTCTTTTTCTAATAGAGCAGCTTTACCTAAAACTCTTCTCAGAATTTCTTTAATAGTACGAATCATTCGCTCCCACCATCCACCCCACCATGGCGCTTGTGGTGGAATAAAGTGCCATGATATCTTTTGAACTGAGGTTTTGAAAGAAACGTCGTCCCAATTAATTGAATTTAAGACATTATTCGCTCCTCGAAAATTAGTAGCGTTATCGCTGTATATAATCCTAGGCCTACCTCTTCGTGCAATAAAACGTCTTAACGTCAACAGGAACTCTTCAGTACTAACTGAAGAGCATATTTCCAGGTGTAAGGCTCTGTAAGTAGCACAAGTAAAGACTACTATCCAGCGCTTCTGATTAGATTTGAGATATACTGGTCCTGCTAGATCTATACCCGTTACTTCAAATGGTACTCCACAAGTTACACGTTCTGCAGGTAATGGAGCGAAAGGTACAGTACTAGCCTTAGCATTATATCGTTTACATATAATACAATCTCGTACAACATTTTTTGCTAACCTTCTGACACCAACTATCCAATACTCTTCTCGTAAGTTATTTATAAGAGTTTGTGTTCCAGCGTGAAGACTATGAACATGTTTATATCGAACGAGTCGCCTCACTATTACATTTGTGCTAGGCAGTAATATCGGAGTTATAAAACTCTCAGTGTCACCACTTAGTGTCAATCTAGTTTTTACACGAATAATATCTTGACTATCTTGAAAAATATCCATTTTGAGTCTTAATTTTATCTCATCAAAACTTTCATAAGACTCCTTTTGTATTATTGACATCAATCGAGTTTCTGCTCTTTCATACTCTTCAGCAGTAATATCTTTATAACTTCTATACTGTCGATAGAACTTGGAAAATCTCAAGCACCATGCAACGGTTCTAACAATTTTTGAATACTTCCCAAAATGAAGAAGTCTGTCAGAAAATTTGGTACCTTCTTGCACAGTTAAACAGCTTTTCTTTACTTCCTTGTTGACTTCATTTTCATCTGGAGTAACATCAGAATTGGGCCACGCTGATTGTGAATTATGAAGCCAAGCTGGACCCTCCCACCATCGACTTTTCAATAAATTTTGAGCATTGCATCCTCTTGATGGAAGATCAGCTGGGTTAAGTTCACCAGGTACATGACGCCAAGCATCGCTGTTACTTCTTTCTGTAATCTCTTTCACTCTATTGTGAACAAAAACATTTAGACCTGATTGCCGTCTTATCCATGCTAACACAATGCTAGAATCAGTCCAGTAATATTCTTTGCAATTCAGTTGCAATGAAAATTTGGCTTCTGTAGCCAATCGTGTGGCTAACAAAGCTGCAATTAATTCAAGTCTCGGCATTGTAACTGGTTTCAATGGAGTAACTCTACTTTTAGCAAGAACAAGCTGTACTGTTACCATATTATCATGTTCCGATCGCAGAAAGACGCATCCAGAATAAGCGTATTGGCTTGCATCACTAAAAACATGAATGGTGTTATTGCTACCAGATAAATTTGATACACTCAATCTTCTTGGAATACGACATTTTTCGATAGCATTTACATGATGAAGCCATTCTTTTGCTGATTTTCCCAATTCTAAGGTAAGTTCTTTGTCCCAGTCCATAGACTTTTCCCAGCACTTTTGTATTAATAGTTTCGGTATCAGTGTGGTAGGACAGAGAAACCCGATTGGATCGAAAATACTTTGCGCCATTGATAACAATGTCCTTTTTGTAAGCTTATCTGTAACTTGTTTGAAAAAAGGAACTTTACAATAGAGTTCATCATTTTGAGCATCCCAAGTAACTCCTAATACAGAGGTATCTGCTTGATTTTTATCTAAAGTAGGGCCAGTCACCCAACATCTTAATTCAAACTTGCCTTCGTTCATTATGTGCAAAGCTTCATTCATGAATTTTTTCATTTCAGATTCATTGTTAACACTGACTACACAATTATCAACATAAAAGCTCTTTCTCAATTGACTGGCAGTATCGCCTACATATTTCTCGAGGTGGTATAGAATAGTAGCTGATAGAAGGTATGGACTCGTTTTAACACCAAAAACTACACGACGGTGTCTAAAAACTTTTAATTTTCTATCTGAGCTGCTAGGGTTGTCCCACCATAAAAATTTGAGAAACTTGCGATCATTTGGATGGATAGATATTTGTAAAAAGGCCTTTTTTATATCGGCGATAATACCTATCTTGCCTTTTCTAAATTGAATAAGTAATTTTGGTATTAATTCTATAAGATTGCTTCCTTTTTCTAGACAAGAATTAAGACTGACACCTTCTTTAGTCGTAGCAGATGCATCAAACACAGGGCGAATTTTAGTCGTAAGGCTAGATTCTTTAACAACAGCGTGATGAGGCAAATAATGTCCGGTTTGAATATTATCACCCATAACCTCCTCAATTATGTTACTATTTAACCATTCGTTGAACACCTCATCATAAGCGTTCAATAAGCCTAATTTTTTAAGCTTATTAGTAGTTGAGTGAAGACGTTTTATTGCTAAATTAAAGTTAGAAGATAAAATGTCTGCTGTATCCTTCCATGGTAAACTAATTTCATACCTATTCTCACCATTTATGTTTACAGTTTCTCTAAAAAAATTCTCAACTTCTTCCTCACGCTTCCGAGAACTTTTAACCTGCGCCTCATCTTTTATACCTATTGATTCAAGTTTCCACAGGTCATCAATATCAAATGAACAAGCGTGTATTGAAGTAAAATTACAATACGTACCAGAAGTAGGTCCCTGAATTACCCAACCAAATTTTGTCTCGATCGCCACCAAATTGTCACTTACATGTTCTGATCGCCCAGTGTACAACGAACCTAAAACATCAGAACCAATTAATAAAGAAATCTCTGTCACTTCATTAATACAATCAGTGATGTCAATACCTTTATCCTGTAGTTGTGACAAAAGTGAGCCTGACTTTATCTTTGGCAAATTATCGCATATTTTCCTCTGCTCAAGTGCCTCTATTTGAATTTCATACTTACTATTGAGGCTTTTGCAATTTAATATAAATAATCTATGATTTTTTAATTTAGTCACTACTCCGCCGAACAAATTGTGCCTTAAGTGTTCATTACCTGTAGGTTTAATATTCAATTTCTCGATTGCATCTGACCTCATAAAAGAGCGTTGAGCACCTGAATCCAAAAGGGCTCTCACTGTAATGGTTTTCTCTTTGTATACTAAATTTAGTTTGACAGTTTGCAATAAAACTGTACTCGGTTTTATAGACTGTTTAAGTACTTGATCTTCTGCCTTCTTTGAAATCTTAGGTAATTCGGCACACATAATGGGATAATGTCTTTTTTCACAAACAATGCATTTGGGATATTTTCTACATTTTTTTGCATGATGTCCAATTTTTAGACATATCAAACATGTATTCTTCTTTTTCAGAAAATCTTTCTTTTCTTCTAAATCCCATTTAATAGGCCTTTTACATTCAGAACTATTATGCGTGGGTTTATCGCACCATACACATTTTCTTATTTCATTTTTAGTATGCACGACATTTTTCTCTTTGTTTCTGACAGCTGTACTTAAAAAACTTGCTGACGGAATTACAGGATTTGGATCCACGCTAGAAAAACCTCCTCGTGATAAATTAATTTTTTCTTCAGATTCAACTTCCTTACGAACAAAATGTAACAATTGTGTCAGCTGACTCTTTTCTTTATCGTTAGTCGCGACGTTCGTCTGACATCTGTTCCATGCGCGTAATATGTCTTCCGGCAGTGCAGATTCCACCATTGGAAATAAAAAGGCGGCATACTTATCTTGCGTCACGCCGAGAGATTCTAAAGCAAGAATCTGAGTCATTAGTTTATCATATAGGATACGAGTGGCCATCTTAGAATTATCGTTTCTTTGAACGATTGTTAACTTTAAGAGTTCTCTAACGTAATATTCTATTATAAGTTCATCTTTTCCATACCTTTGTTTGAGCTGTTGCATTACCTTTGGGTAGTTTTCTGCTGAGGGTGGAAAACTTTCCACTAACTCCCTGGCGTTACAACCTTTCTCAATACTTTGTAGGAGATATTGAAATTTATCTTCATCATCTATGTCGCTGTCGCAGTCAATCTTCTTGAACTGTGTCCAGAATGGAATCCAACTTTTTATCTCTTCGTTCAATAAAGTAAGCTGTAACTTCGGAAGACGAAAGTGGCGACGATGCCTTTGGGAAGTCTCTCCACTCTCACTATCTGCTTTAATTACAGTATCAGAGGCCGAAGAGCGGGCTACCGCAAGACTGCAGTTCTCGCTGACTTTGTGTTTCAACAAATAGAATTTACTGGTGTAAGCCTCGGACAGTTCTAAATCATCATCAAAAAAATTTTCGTCCCGTTCCTCCATGTTCAACCACAAATCCATTAATTTGTTTTGGAGGAATGTTAATTCGTCGAAAATTTTGGTGATATTTAATATTTCCGCGCTCATACCTGTTTTATCATTCTTCTCTAGAAAATCTTCTATACGTTTAGCACACATAGTAAAACGACGACGTACTACTTTTCTTTGTAATAATGCCTGTTCCATTTTTACGCTGATCACGGTCGCCAAAATGTGAGTAGTCCGAATAATATATAAATAAAATAAAATAAAATAAAATTAGATAACGACGGAAGCAGGCGAAGAAAAAAACAATAGCGTATATATATTGTCATTGACAAAAAATAAAAATAAAAAATACAAAGAGGTTTCACAACAATAGATTGAATAAGATCTATATTTAATTTATTTAGGTTAGGCGCTTTCTTAGAATACAATATTGACATTGTTCGAAATATCCTTATTAATTGGTGTATAAATTATAATTTAAATTGTGAAAATAAATAAAACGCCATAATGGAATTCTCTCATCTTAATTTTTTGTATTTGTCATTATAACTTTACTCTTTTAAAGCTCGAATAGTATTATAAACAATTCAAAAAGATATATCGTGAAAAATTTGTGGCAAGAATAATTTTATTTGTATATTAAATTTATAACTAGACGATGCCTATGCGTGGGCGATATTTGGGAAAAAAGTATATGAAGAGTCTTAATAAGACCAATAGACGTTAAAACAATATTTTATAGAAAATTCTTCTATCTGTTTTTACGTTTGTTCCAGCTTCACGCAACAAACTATTGTACGTAATTATCTGCAACTTATATTATATTAGTACAGGGGCATAACGTCTAAGTCCTCAGGAATAGCAACGCAGGATATCATGGGCAACAGAGTATAAATTCATATCTATAGGCAACGGTTACCCTTGCCGTTTAGTGAGCCATCAGCTTGTTTGACGTTTTAATTTGTATAAAAAAAAGTATATTTCAAATATTTCCAAGAACTACAAACAAATTACAAAGACTCTAACAGCCAACTCTGGCCTCGTATTACATTTTAATTGTTTTTAATTCAATTCACGTTTTTTAAGGAAAGTAGTTTCATTTTGAAGGTAATATTTATTGCTGTGATCTCCTATGAATACGGGAGCAGGCTAACTTAACTAGTTTAATAATATACAATAAGGACGGATATATTATCGTTCCTTCATTGTCTTCGTTGGAAGCCCATAAACTAACTAGCTGGCTTATTATTTTGAAATAAAAAATAATCCATTTAATCCCATTTCTACTATTTGGTAGGTAGTATACTATGTACAAATAAAAAACAAAACTTATTACATTATTTACTAGTTTTTGATGCGATGTAAATATTTATAAATTTACTAACTTGAACTCACAACTTCGTTCGCACGACCACGATATGTTCACTGATCAAGATAAAAAGTAGCCTATATATGTACTTCTTCATTCCTTATGATCAAAGTGGCCTATGTACTTCTCCATTGGATATAACCAAAATAGCCTATGTACTTATCCGTAAATTTCTTACAGATTGATTCAGCCATTAAGATGCTAAAAGTTAAAAAACAAACTCACTTTTATTATATTTAAGAAGGATTTTTGGAAATATCTTAGATCCAAGAGAACACCAATTAAACGATATTTAAATAATAAACACAAATTATTTCTGATATTTTAATAATTTGAAAACCATTTCACATAATTTATTTACACAATTTAGATAGGTACACAACTTTATTACAATCTAAGTAAAAAATTTATAAATAATAACTAACTATTACTGAGCAATATTTACAGATTTTTATTATGATAAAATTTATTATCTTAAATCAATTATTTATTACTTTATTGTTTTAATTCTGACAATTTTTTTTTTATTATTATTTAATATATACTTTTCAATTACATGTTTTTTCATTAAAATGAAAATTAAATAAGCTCACAATTATTTTCCATAATGGGGTAGTCAGGAACTATTATAAATTGTTTTTGATTTGGTGAACTTAACACTAAACATAGAATACTTTATGTACCTATTAATTTTACAACAATTTTACAATTTTTTTCTAATTAATTAGTCATGTATAATGCACATAAATGGTAAAAAAAATGTATCTATTTATTTATTAACTTATTAATGAAACATGAATTTATTTCACTTACACAAAGTCATACTACTACATATTAGAATAGGTCTTTCATATAAAAACAATATAATATACAAAATAAATTATTGAGTTGAAGTCACGTATTTTAATTTTATTTTTATAATTTTTCTATTTTTTTTTAATGTCGTCACTCGACTTTCTGATCTCTAATTACCTCAGTCTTTATTATACATATTTACATTTAACTATTTAAAATTGCAACTCGCCATCACATAACTGGGTATATAGTATCAATTTATTTTAAAATTTACAAATATCTCAAATTTTACATTTTTTTTTATAAAAATACAAAATATAACATTATTTGTAACGATTATTAAAAAATTTTTGGTTATAATATTATATTATATAGATTAAAATAAAATCTCCTAAACTACATTTTTCAAAGAGCTATTTAAAAAAAAACAGTTACATATGTATACTTATAACATGTATATATAAAAGGAAATGGGTTTTCTTTAAAAAAATAATAATAAGTATATTATAATTAAAAGATACAATAAGAGGAAAATAAATTAAAGATTTTAAAACTATTTCACGAAATAATTTTCTATTAGCTTTAAAACCAACAAAAAATTCGAGGCACCAATTAATTGGACAGTTTTATTAATACTTACAAGGCATGGTATAATATGGATATCCTCTGAACATTGATTGCGTAAATAAAACATTATTTACCCACTTCGATATCGCACATACCAACTGGATATCTATATTTCAATGAGATTCTTTATTTCGATATTGTACATTGGATAGCCGGTATTTGAAATATCCGTTACTGGGCCAATATATAGATATTGTAACTACAATAGATCTACAGATACTGCTATATATTATCCACACCTAATTCTTACTGTCTAAAACTACAATCAAGTGATATACATTATAAACTGTACTTTTGATTGTTTTGTATTTCCTATTCTCTACATCACTGAGTTAGTCGGCAGGAGATTCTATACTCTATTCTATGCGTAGTAGTGTTGCAAGTCTTCTGAGTCCAATACGGTGCCATGGACAGGAAATTCTGAAATATATAAACATATGTTAATTTAGTTAATTATTATTATATATTTATTTCTTTTAAACCGTTTAATAATATTTATTTTAAGCTACAGTGATATTATCTTTGATTCGTGCAGTTTCTACTCAAGATAGTGAAATGCAGTAAGTAGTCTATATTTGGTTTAATCTAATTTTCAGAATACTTATTTTAACATCTGACAAGTAATACTAAATCTATCCATAGGTCAATTAATTCTAAACATTCTAAACAAAAAATCAACTTTCTATATTAATTTGACCATACTTAATATTTAAAATGTCAATCTAATTAATAGAAATTATATATATAAAGTGAAAGTAGATAATATGTTATTAGAATACACTATATAAAATAATTATAGATATATATTACAAAGAGTACATAATTCTTTACTATGTACGGATATGTTGTATCTAAAAGTAAAACTACTTAGAAGTAGTTAATTTAGAAGTATCTATTTCTTACTACTTCATGCAATAATTAATATATAAACAAAAAAATATATGTTTTAGGTATTATATATATAAGACATAAAATCAAACTACATATTACTGTACAGTTATATACATGTTTAGTGTTAGTTATGTGCAGTTACAGTCTTTTTAGTCAAAGTCGCCCGGAATTAATACCATTTGCAATACAGTAGGTATCTCCCTCTCGCTTAAGTGTTACATAAATAAACGAGAGGTGAAATATTATTTATGGTACTTCCAAGGAACACAAGCGTCAGTCAGTTCATCATCCGTCAACCTACCTTCAGTCAGTTATCGGTCAGTCGATTTCAAACTTGAACAATTCTGTTTCCGCGAAGATAGTATTTAGCGTCTTTGCTTCTGTTGTTGTTATTTGTTGTTGTATTAGTCTTTGTTGTAGTTTTAGTGGTCGTTGTTGTGACAGTACTACTTATAGTGGTACTCTTGGTAGTAGTACTACTTGTAGGGGTACTAGTTGTGGTAAGAGTATCGGAGGGAAGGAACTCAGCTGGGAGCACGCCAATTTCGTCATCAGTAACTACAGAAGTAGGAAATAGAGGGACTTGGCCCTTTTTTATCATTTCCTTATATTTTTCCAGTCCTGTAAAAGTGGGAAGGTCCTCGGAAGACCTGTGAATATGTTCATTCATGTACATTGCCAATTTATTAAGATTCCGCTTGATCTTTTGGATCTTAGCAGGAGTTAAACCCTGTTGGACTTTATGGGCTACATGTGGAGTGATTGACTTTTTGGAAGCCACTTGCTCGAAAGGTGGATGTGGGTTTCGAGGGTCATAATCGGAGTAAGCGTCAGCCATCGCTGGCTCGCCATAAGAATTAACTGCTCCCCACGTCATCGGCTTGAAAGGAGGGACTGGTTGAGGTGGAGGCGGTGGATGGTGGACCAGGGAGTTGTCATTTGCCGCATATTCTGGTGCAGCTGAGGAAAAAACGTTTTTGATCGCACTATAAACTTTGTGGAGAATCGACGGCGGTGGCTCCAGCGGTGTGTGTCCAATACTTGGGGCTTCTTGGGTCTGACTTGGTACGGCATCACCCAGGGGCGTCAGTAATAATACTCCAGCGTGCACCCCATTCAGTTTATCTCGTCCTGTCTCAAAAAGTTTTCGAATCTTAGTCAATAAGTCGGTCTAATTTTATACTACATAATTATCATAAATGTTGTGTGAATATTTATCCCGTTTCTACAATTTTTTTTTTCTCTAAATACAATTGTTAGTCGATTCTGTAGCTACGGTCCGTGTCTGTATTAGTTGTATGAGTAATATTTGTTTTTGTATTGATATAATACCTATCCTGCGAAAGAATATGGGTATAGTCTGGTACACCTTGAAACCTAGAATGAAGTTGAAAAAAAAAATTAAATTAAATTTAAGCGATATCAATTTGTAAATTATTGTATATGCACATTTCAAATTATAGAATATTAAATAAAATTATGTTTATCAGTTAAATAGTTTTAAATAAAATACTATACATAAATAGATGCCATTTTGGAAATAAGCAAAATAATGTCCATTAAAACATGTTGTAAATAATACACATTTTAATTGGGTTGACTGTAGTACATGGAAGTGATGAAAAACTCATATTAATAATAATAATTAAGTACCGTAAAATCACACTAATTGTATTATTTCTTGATCCTCGAACTAGGACACTCTCTGGTTTGAAAAATCAGTCAACAAACATCTAGGAACACAACCCTGAACCAGTTTAGAAATTTTCATTTTCTCGATTATGCTAACCTAGAGTTGATTTTTTTTTAATATTCTAAGACGAAAGAAAAAATAAGCAGGGCATTTATGGATACTGATACAGATATATACTCGATATAGATACTCAATTAAGGACTTGTTAAACTAAAAAATAATTCCACTTTATAAGCACAAAAATAATATTTTGTTAATTGTATTTGAAAAGATGTTACCATAAATATAAAAATTTTGCATGCCATTGTTTTGGCAAAACAGTCCTGTTCCTAACATATTATTACTAACATCTGTATACCGTGTTTTTCAGAAAATAAATTATATTATTATTATTATTATACCTGAATCTGAATATTTACTCTTACCGTTGTATGCCGTTTAGCCGTAGTTACGTTACATATTCAAGAGCACCGCTTGCTTTTATTATAGCAATTGTATAATTAAAACATTTGTATAAATTACCTATCCGTTAAAATACATACCCACTGACCTACTTCGTTTCTAATGTCTACGCAGTGGAGTTACATAAAATCGATGCATCGAAACGGTTTTGTAACAAAATTGAATGATAGACCAAAAGTGCCAGTTCAAACAGCACCTTTCACGGACTCCTCTTTTGCACGGTAAATAAGTAGTTGGGTAAGCATTATGCAATAAGCAGTCACACTTCCTAGTTCAATGTTATATTCGAAATAAATTAATTTGAGTATTTATTGATAGTTGCTCAACCGTAGTTGATTGGCCCAGTGAATTGGGCAGAGGGTGAAATGAACACATCCGTAGAAGAACCAAAGTGACCTATTTAGTCCAAAGGATAAATAAATTGAAATGGTAATGCATAGTGGTCATATAACTTCAAGAACTGTGCATTAATTCGAAAGAATGATGTTAAAATAATAATGGGATGGTAACCCCACCTACTTCTCACTTACACCTCCTCCTCACAGCGTATACTTATCGGTATACGCAGACGGACCAGTGAGGAATGATATAGGCGAGGACGAAAGTAGATCAGCTGGCCTATCACGACGAAATCGTCAAGATTTAACGATGATGGTTTTTTGAAGAAATCGCATGATGGATCTCTTAGGGTATATTGCTAGTAATGAGAACTAAACTCTTAATTACTAACAGTTCCTGCCCGTTATCGACCCTGATTAGGCAATCTCCATATAGAACGAGCCCCGTCTTTCTAAATGGGACTGACTACCTTCAATCCTTATGGCAATGTATGGAGGACGCCTATGTTTAAATGAAGGAAAATGAAAATTTACGTTCTTTTTTTTTCATATTATGTTTAAAATATTTAAAATCAATAGAGTTGAGAATCTTCTCAAAATCTGGTATAATATTTGACAGTCAACACCAATTTATTTATAATTTACAAACTTTAGTTAATTTGTAAAACATAAAGAAACTGCACACTTTTATGTAACTGCTCATTATATTTTTTAATTATTTGCTTTTTAAATAACACTTTCAAAATTAACTATTCAGTACTTTTTTTTTTCAGAAACGTCCGCATACATTTATTTTATATTTACATTGTGAAGTTACAAAACAATACGTTTTACATTTTTACATAACTAATATTAATTTTTAGTGACATTTCGTTGTTTCCACTTTCACAGAAACCAAGACACTACAAATAATACATATTTGTACGATATGCCTACTTAATATTTATTTGTCGGAAGTCAACACTTTATGTGGTTACTCTCGCATATAAAAACTTGTAACATTTCAAAGATGACTGGCAAATTATATAAAATATTGAGTGCGTAAACTATAATGTAATTGTAACAGGTAATTTGATGCTACCCACATTTAATTATGTTACACAAAAAGTATCCCGTGTGGTCCCGGCATCGAATAGGCCACCCCTTCCTTTCCCGTGGTTGTCGTAAAAGGCGACTAAGGGAGGGCGAGAAATAGGCAGCAGTGTACCTCTTAAAACATCTCTAAAGCCTAACTGCGGTTGCCAATCCGCCTGCCAAGCGTGGCAACTACTGGTAAACCCCCCAAAGAGGAGGCTTATGTTCAGCAGCGGACAATTATAGGCTGATATGTTGATGACGATGAAAAGTATCTTAAATATTGTAAACTTGAGTACATGTGTTTATATTTAATATTGTAATGTCTTTTATAAATAATTTAGTCAAAAGAAATTATTTAACTATTTACTAAGATGTATCTCCTCACCAGAGGGAGACTTTGTACAAAAGTCATTTGCTTGGGTACCTCTGTCCCATTTGTATTTCTACCGTTAAACAGTTGTGTTTACATGGTTGTGTATCGGTTTGAAGGTTGGGATATGGCAGTGCATTTACAGGGTACACAGGAATTTCCTCAGTCTTCAGAAATGGCAACACATGGCGGGTGTCATGGGCGAAACAGTATACTTTGTTGTGTCCATGGCTATAGGTCATGTCTATAGGCGAAGGTTACCTCTTTCCATCAGGTGGGCCGTCAGCTTGTTTGCCATTCTAAGTTGCATAAAAAATCTCATGGCTCGGCCTAGTTCAGTGGCTAGCAGATTTAACTAAATATAATTTATTTATTAAATACAGTTATTATTAAAAAAAAAATGTAAACTTAGGTGCACTAAGTCTATAAATAAGTAGTAATTATGAAGCTGATTGCTAAGTGAACTCGTTAAACAGTTTATGTAAATTTCTATTAAAAAAAGAGGTAATGGGTTCCGCGCGAGAGAATCCGTGGCATATTAGTCTAGTTAAAAATTACCTGTGAATACCCTACTGAATTAATTCTTACTAATATTATAAATGTGAAAGTGTTTTTTTGTTTTTTTATACAACTTAGATTGGCAAACAAGTTGACGGCCCACCTGATGGAAAGTGGTAACCGTTGCCTATAGACATGAGCAGTACCATGGACATAACAGAGTATACTGTTTCGCACATGATACCCCCCATGCGTTGCCATTCCTGAGGACTTAGGTGTTATTCCTCTGTACCCAATAAATTCACGCCATATCTCATCCTTCAAACCGAAACACAGCCATGTAAACACAACTGCTTCACGGTTGAAACACGAATGGGACAGAGGTACCCAAGCAATCGACTTTTGTACAAAGTCTCCTTCTGGTGTTTGTTGTTGTTTGCTTGTTTGGTGCTGGTTTGTTTGTTTATTACCTTATAGCGCCTTAACAGCTTAATCAATTACTATAAAATTTAATATTTTCGTCCTATGTGAGACACAGGTTATCTAAGTAACTAGGTTTTTTATTCCAGTTAGCAAACATATCTCGGTCACGTGAACGAAGTCGCGGGTAAAATCTAATTACCTGTAAGTTAATAATTTACTAACAGCAATGTCGAACTTCATGTAAAAGATTTGTAAAACATGTACATGGTTTGAGATCGTATGAACACGCACATTCGTACTGCGCTTCTGTACTCCTAAAAACATACAGAGATTCAAGGGTGTAGAGAAAGCAATGCTAAAGTATTATGGTATTTTTATAATAACACCATCGTGAGCGAACACAGAAACTATGTGGTCCATGAATGCAATCAACGGAAAAGAGAATGTTCAATGAACGCGTCTGATTTACGATCATATAAAAGTCACACCGAATAATTTGATGTCTATTCCATCTGATTTCGATTTAATCTCAATTCGATTGCATTAGACAGTTAATTCACACACGTATTTTATAAACTTATGTGGTTTACCAAAGGATTTTCCATTATGTAGTCGCGTTAAATGTTTATATAACAAAGGCATGTTCCATAAGGGGTGGGGGAGTGTTCTTAGTTGACCCTGCTGCCCACCTATTGACCATTAAGTACTCTTTTTAAGGAAATGTTCAATCACAGAAATAGGACTAAATAATTATAAGTCGAAAAACAACAAAAAGTTCTGAGTATCTTATACTCAAAACTTTTTGTCGTTTTTATAATTTTTTTTAATTTACTAAATTTTTATCTACTACAAGTATATTTTACTAGCTGTATAACAAAGCTTTATCTGCGTGATATATTCTATATATTACATAACTTGTGTATCAATATAAATAGATACATCTATAACTATTTAACCACAACAATATAGGGGGAAAAGGGATTGTTAGTAATGGAGACTGAGAATTCCATTGCTAGCAATATACCCAACCAGGTCGACCTCCTCACGGTTCCCCCTGGAAACTATCATGGTTAATTTCTGATGAATTCATCATGATGGGCTAACTGGCCTGTTTTCATTCTCATCTATCACTCATCACTGGTGCTCCGCCAGCGTATGCCGTTAGCGCAGGCGGGTTTACCATACCATTTTCACCCATAAAAAAAACCACAACAATATTCAATATTTTTGACCGCATAATTTTGTTTCTATGTTTCCAAAGGTTGCCAAG